AGTCATTGTCTTCCTGTCTCTGTAGCTATGCTGCATGTTTTTTTTTTAATTTAACAGTCAAGGAAGGTGGGATTATAAATGCATTGGAAAGAATAGAATATTGGAAATGCACTGAATGAGCAAATTACTATCCCTGTAGCCTCCATTTGACATCCATGGCTTTCTGTCTTTTTCTCTTTTCTTATTTGAACTTAAATAGAACTCTATTTTCCACAACTGTGCATTTTCCTGTTGGGGTTGAATACACATAAAATGGTAGGAAAAGTTAAAGTTAGCAATGATATTATGAAGTAGTAAGGTTTTTGCCTGTTTACTTTCTGATGGGTCTGGATAGTTAAGTCCAACTATTCCCTCAAGCTTCAGTCTCAATACTACCATCCTTTCGTGGAAAGAATCCTGCCATGTCATTTATCACATTTATCACATTTCCTCTCTAGAAATGAATTTTTAAATTTTTATGTCATAGAAAATAATCTATGAAAATTTTCTTCTTTTCATATAAAGTATTGTTCTTGAATAAGCATGCTCATTACTGCTTCAATCCAAAATAATCCATGTTTTTGTGGATTGATGCTAGCTTATCCCGGAACTCATGTCTTGCATTTAAGTAGCACATGGACATTTTCCCCAAATTTTGCAAAGAAAAGACACCATATTCAAACACAATATGCTCACTGTTCTTTTAATGAATACCAGGGAAATAAAAGCATCTTCAAACATAAACCAAGGACAAGTTGGAAAAATTAAATATTTATAAATAAATATAAATATATATGTATTTAAATTGTTTGGGGACAGGAACATTTTTTTGACAGGCAGAGTTAGACAGTGAGAGAGAGAGAGACAGAGAGAAAGGTCATCCTTCTGTTGGTTCACCCCCCCAAATGGCTGCTACAGCTGGCATGCTGTGCCGATCCGAAGCCAGGAGCCAGGTGCTTATCCTGGTTTCCCATGCAGGTGCAGGGTCCAAGCACTTGTGCCATCCTCCACTGCCTTCCTGGGCCACAGCAGAGAGCTGGACTGGAAGAGGAGCAACCAGGACAGAATCCGGCGCCCCAGCTGGGACTAGAACCCGGGCTGCCAGCGCCGCAAGGCGGAGAATTAACCAAGTGAGCCGTGGCGCCGGCCATGGGGACAGAAACTTTTAAGCACTTGAGCAAGTCAAATTATGCAAAGCAATATCATGGGAAACCTAACAGATGGAAAATTTCTAAATCCTGGGGGAAACTGAGATTCAAGTCTACAGGTTCATGACCTCTCAGGGAGAACCTCTTTAAATGCTAGTTGGAAACGAAGGCAGAACATTGAGCTTCATCATTTTTTTCTTTTCCGGGGACCATGCTGAGGACAGAATTTGAACATCAGTGGGAAACTTTACATATCTTATCCACTACAGTTGGTCTTCCTCTACGTCTTAGATGTAGAGAAGAATTGGAAAATAAATCCACATTTTGGTCAGCCACTGTTTGTACATCCCTTTCTAAAGAATAAGAAATTGTCATCAGCAGAATCTCCACGGAAGTCATACATGGTGAGAATTATAATTTATGTTTTCCATTTTGATAAATGATTTAAAACTGTAATAGAGTGCTTAAAATGTGTCGGTTGTGGTCAGGTTGTTAAGTTTATTGCAGTGTGTTCTCTATGAATTATAAATGTGTATACATGGACTAATTATATAAACTTCCTGGCTCTCAACTCCTCATCTTCACTTTAGATTAATTATCAAAGTTAAGTTTGTGAAAGTAAATAAAATAGTACACTTGGAGCTTACCTACAGGAGAGCACATGTTACATCCTAAGTGTCCAATGAACAGCAGCTGCTGGAACAGAATGTAAGTCAGTGTCTCTCTCTCTCTCTCCCTCCCCTCTCTCTCTCTCTCTCTCTCCTGACTTTCTTGTTTAGGAGCATCTATTTCTTCAAGTCCAATAAAATTATATCTATCTTCATCTTTTCATTTCATGTGAAGCCCACATAACAAGTACATATTTTTGCAAGATTATTTTACTTAATCTTTCTGTGACATAACATGTGATTTATGAGAACTGAAAATCTCACCATGTATTATTTCCTCAAAAATTATTTCTACATGTTCTCATTTATTCCCCAATGATTTCTGTATCCTGATATTTTAGATTAAAAATGGAACATTCTGAAGTTATATAATTGATATTTATATAGGAGTTAGGACTAAAAATGTCAATTCTGCTCTGTGTCCCTGGGTAGCTCAGGGACCTTGTTCTTGAGATTAACCCTGATCTTTCTTGCACCTAATAACACTATGTTTTTATGTGTATCACCTTATCCAGTTCTCAGAGGAATCCTGTCAATAGGCTGTCTTTTCATACCCATTGACAAAAGTGAAATCTGAGGACTTTAGAATTTTAAATAAATTGTTAATGTCACAGATTGTGCAGAGAAATTGGGATTTGAACCCAGGCTGAGGAGTCTGGAGTCAAGGTTCTCACTTATTTCATTTATTTTTCTTTTTTTTTTTTATCCATAGGCTAACCTGAACACTGCTGGGTCATACATTGGTCTTCTCTACTGTATGATGAATAGTTATTGACTGATGCAACCTTATAGGGTTTATTTCATATACTTGTTTTACTGCTGACAACTTATCAGTGAATGTAGAGTCACAATGTAGACATCAACTGGAAATGAACATAAAGACACAATGCAAGCCGGCGCCGCGGCTCAATAGGCTAATCCTCCACCTTGCGGCGCCGGCACACCGGGTTCTAGTCCCGGTTGGGGCGCCGGATTCTGTCCCGGTTGCCCCTCTTCCAGGCCAGCTCTCTGCTATGGCCAGGGAGTGCAGTGGAGGATGGCCCAGGTGCTTGGGCCCTGCACCCCATGGGAGACCAGGAAAAGCACCTAGCTCCTGGCTCCTGCCAGGATCAGCGCGGTGCGCCGGCTGCAGCGGCGGCCATTGGAGGGTGAACCAGCGGCAAAGGAAGACCTTTCTCTCTCTGTCTCTCTCTCTCACTGTCCACTCTGCCTGTCAAAAAAAAAAAAAAAAAAAAATAAATAAAAAAAAAAAAAAAAAAAAGACACAATGCAAGTGGGTGTTTTAAAGTAAGGTAAAGAAGAGATATTAATACAGACAATTGTATTGTTATCTTTATTAACATCTTAAATTGTTTTGTCAAATATAAGTGATGCTCACGAAATCAAATTATTTTAAATTCTCAGAATAAACTCTGTAATTTTTTCACCTGTTTTAATAGACAGTCGCATATACATACAGATGTATTTACAGATACACAAACATATTTTCTATTTGACTGAAATATTTGGTTTATATGTACAGGTGAGGATACAATAATATTTTGAAGCTGTGTGTGCTTATGGAAAATGATGTCAAGAGTTGGAGTAATTATCTGGATAAGTCATGGAAAAGATTTCTGTGAGTAAGAGAATTAGCATTTTCAATGATGAATAAATACTAAAATTGGTAATGAAATATTATTATGTGTAACATTGTCACATTTTTAAATGTTATTCTCATCATAAATCTGAGAGATGAGCAGGTAAACTATATATGAACATCTTTTCTTTTTTAAAGAATGTTATACAAATTTGAAACATATATCTTGAGGAGTTGTATTAGATCAGATCATGTCATGTTATATAAATAATTAGTAAGTAATTGACAAAGTTTCAAGATTCTGGCTTATATTCAACACATAATTCTCTTCCTTACCTACATACATGGTTTGTTGCCATGTTTTGTACATCAAAAATTGGTCTGCCAATACTACATCATTTGCTCTGTTTCCCTTACTAAGAAGCCTCATTCAAATATGAACAGGAATCAGTGGCTTTAATTTATATAGGGGAACCTCAACTTAGAAGTTCTTGATTGGAAAGAAAAATTCCCACTCTTTCCCCCTTTATCTAGTGGAAAGGATTTGCTGTTAGAGCCATAGTTTCTGTATTAAAGTCACATGACACTGGGCAGTCAGGTAAGACACCAGTTAAGATGCCACACAGCAGGGTGCTTGAATTGGATTCCCAGTTCCAACCAGGCAATGCACATCCTGGTATGCATGGATGAAAGCTCAAGTTGCTGGTCTCCTGCCGCCCTCAGTTGCCGGCATGCGAGAATGAACTAGCAGTTGGGAGTGTGCTCTGTCTCTCTCCACTTCTCAAAATAATTAAATAAATAAATTTATTTAAGACTGCAGAACCGGCATCTGTGGGTTGCTTGAATGTAGTCTCTTTAAGCATTAGTTTCCTGCCAATAAAGTGAGGATAATAAAAGTGAGCACGGTTTCCTAAGCTACCCTGAGGAATTGCTTATCTTGCATTATTGTAAAGTTTTCTTTTACTTTTAAAATGATGAAGTAAAAATGAAAATCTCATTCTTCCTGCATATTTATGTGGGAATTATACAGGTATTTACATTTCTGTAGAGTTTATTCTTATATAAATAGTAAATTAATTCATTTAAATGAATCATTTAGTTTAGACTTCTAAAAATTATTTGAGGAGTAGATATCATTTTCATGTACTTCTTGAACTGCATACTATTTATTCTTCTGTTTATACATAAGAATGTCTTCTGATCAGGGATGCATCTTAGTCATGCCTGTGCCATTGCATGTCAATGGTAGGCATGATTAGTAAATTAGAGCCTTCTTTTTCTCATAAGTTGCATGTGGCTTCACGGTACTCCTCAAATGTTCATTTCAGGAAGTCACAAGTCAGTGATCAATTATGGCATTTGAAATACGATATATATCTTTTCTCTACCATACATGCCTCTGGCATATTGAAATTCTGGTATTTCAAAGTATTCAATAATTTCTGTTCCTATTCATTCTGTCTCACCTCCAACTACTATCTTCAAAAAATGTAAGTTCGTTGCCTCAATGGCAACGGATGCATTACATAAGGGGGTATCAAATTGTTGCTGGCTGCAACCTGCTCTGAAACAAATTTTTCTGTATTACGATTTCAGATTCTACATGAACACTATTGTAGCTCCTTGGAAATCATGCTAAACCAAAGCTTTGTAACTGAGTTTGTCCTCCTGGGGCTTTCACAGAGTCCTAATGTTCAGAAGATTGTGTTTGTTGTATTTTTGCTTGTCTACATTGCAACAGTTGGGGGCAACATGCTAATTGTAGTGACTGTCATCAGCAGCCCTGCACTGCTGGGCTCCCCCATGTACTTCTTCTTGGCTTTCTTGTCTTTTCTGGATGCCTGCTTCTCTTCTGTGATCACCCCAAAGATGGTTGTAGACTCTCTCAATGAGAGAAAAACCATCTCCTTTGAAGGCTGCATGACACAGCTCTTTGCCGAACACTTCCTGGCTGGGGTGGAGGTGATCATCCTCACAGCCATGGCCTATGACCGCTATGTGGCCATTTGTAAGCCCTTGCACTATTCTTCTATCATGAACTGGAGGCTCTGCAGCATTCTGATGGGAGTAGCCTGGACAGGGGGATTTTTGCATTCCATCATCCAAATCCTTTTCACTTTCCAGCTTCCCTTTTGTGGTCCCAATGTTATCGACCATTTCATGTGTGACTTGTATCCATTACTGAAGCTTGCCTGCACTGATACTCATGTCTTTGGCCTTTTTGTGGTTGCCAACAGTGGATCTATTTGCATTATTATTTTCTCCTTGTTGCTTATGTCCTATGGTGTCATCTTGTTCTCATTGAGAAACCATAGTTCTGAAGGGCGATGGAAAGCTCTGTCTACTTGTGGATCTCATGTCACTGTTGTGGTTTTGTTCTTTGTCCCGTGTATATTTATATATGCAAGACCTCCATCTGCTTTCTCTTTTGACAAAATGGTGGCGATATTTTACACAATCCTGACTCCCTTGATCAATCCTTTGATCTATACTTTCAGGAACAAAGAAGTGAAAAATGCTATGAAGAAATTGTGGAACAAATTGATAGCAGTTTCTGATGAAAACTAAAACATTAACCAAGAAAAATGAAAAAAGTTATATGTAAAGAAATCAAAATTGTCAGATAAAATCTTTACAGGATATCCTGTGCATGGAAAGAAATAATTTAATGGACAAATATTAAACTTGTTACTTTGTAGATGATCTTTTCATTTTCATATTACTCATCAACTCTAAATTGACAACTCAGTATCCTTATATGTATATTAAAGCAATTGAGTGTTTTACTTATTTTTAATTTAACAACCAAAAACAATCATAAAATAGATATTACCCATCAAATGGCTTACCATGCACTCCAGGCTAGAAAAAGCAACAAGTAATCTCAAAGCTTTCAAATCATAAAATTAGTACATTGACCTAATCAATAAAAGAAACACTGGGGCTGAAGAAATATAGCGGTCAGGGATTCATTTAAGTTCAGAGCTAAGTATGGCTATATCCCATAATTCCACTGTTTAAGGAAGATTTATAACCACCTGGTAGAGAATTTGAGCCACATTTTTTTTTGTAGGATTTATTTTCTATTTGAAAGGCATAATTAGAGAGAGGAAGAGATACACATGCATTTACAATCAACTTATTCTTGAGAAAGGAGCTAAAATAAATCACCAGAGCAAGGACAGTATCTTCAAAAAATTGTCTTGGGAAAACTGGATCTCAACATGCAGAAGTAGGAAACTAGACCCCTATCTTACACCTTACACAAAGATCCACTCAAAATGGATCAAAGACCTAAATCTATGACCCTATACTATGAAATTACTAGAGAACATTGGAGAAATTCTGCAAGACATTGGTATTGGCAAAGGCTTTTTAGAAAGTATGCTAGAAGCACAGGCAATCAAAACCAAAATTGACAAGCAGGATTGTATCAGCATGAGCAGCTTCTACACTACAAAAGAAACCCTCAGCAAAGTGAAGAGGCAACTGACAGAATGGGAGAAAATATTTTCAAACTACACAACTGATAAAGGGTACACATCCAAATCTATAAAGAGCTCAAGAAATTCAACAACAACAAAACAAGCAATCCAGGTAAGAAATGGGTAAAAGACTTGAACAGACATTTTTTAAAAGAGGAAATTCAAATGGCCAACAGACACTTGAAAAAAAAATGCTCAGGATCACTAGCCACTAGGAAAATGCAAATCAAAACCACAATGAGCTTTCACCTCACTCCAGTTAGAGGGGCCCTCATGCAGAAGTTAACAAGCAACAAATGTTCACTAGGATGAGAGGAAAAAGGTACCCTAATCTACTGTTGGTGGGAAGGTAAACTGGTGCAGCCATCATCGAAGACAGTATGAAGATATCTTAGAAATCTGAATATAGACCTACCATATGATCCAGCCATCCCACTCTTGGGAAGTTACCTGAACCAAAAAAGTCAGCACATGAGAGGGTTATCTAATCCCATGTTCATTGCAGCACAATTCAATCAGTTTTAAAATACTTCATGAAGTCATTTTTTTTTTTTTACTTTCTTGCTTTTGTTCAGTGGTCTTCTTTGATGCTACCATCTGCAAAATTTTTTCTGCCAGAAATGAGAAGCTTGTTCACTACCTCAAAGGTATGATGGGAGTTTAGGGATTTAGTTTAGGGATTTTCTGGGAAGTTGATATAGTGACCCATCTGTTGTCTGTTCCTATTTTGCAAGGCAAGAAATCTTATGACAGTAAGGTTAAAGTAACAGAGCTTTAGATTTGTAATTAAGAGATTTGAATTTTAAGCTTTTTTCTATTATTGATTACCCATGTGACCTTAGATGAGTTATTTAACTTCTCCTGCCTCAATTCCTTATGTCTAATGAGAATTAAGAATTAATTAATATTTCTTCTGCACTCTCTGTGAATCAGGAGTTCTTTTATGTTATATGTTTTAGTATTTATAGAAACTTCACAAAGTTTTCATACTACCATTTATTTGATGAGAAATCTGGGGATCAAAAACTGTCAGTGGTACCCCAGAAAACCTTTCAGATTCTGGATTTATTGGTCAGAAAATGTAATACTTAAGAACAAATAATTCAGAAATTAGAGAAACCAGTAGATAAGGGAGATAGGAATAACAAAGAAGCTATAAACATGGGAATGTGTTCTTGGTGAGGAAGGTTGAGAAGGAATGAGAATTTGTTTTGGATAAGGAAAGACATTGTGTATGAAATATTTGAAGTAAAGTAGAATGATTGGATGACACTAGAATGAAAGCAAAAAAGGATAAAAACTGAAGATTTAAGTAAATTTCAGAAGATATGAGCAGATCACAGAAGGTTTGAAAAGGATAAACAAACGTAATCGAGGCACTAGGTATGGATTCTCAATTCCCCAAGTAGAGAACTTGGCTTCTATTGTCTCTCCTGCTGTTAGTGACTACTCTAATATCTACCTTTCTTGCCCCAAGTCTTTAGTCTTCTGTTTTGAATAAACCAATTCAGTTTATCTCCTCTAGAATACAGCAAATCCATTTCCAAATGACAATGCAACAAAGATATCTACTCTTTCAATGTCAAATTTCTCCAGACAACACCACCTGTAGTCTGTTGATAATACAGCAACAGCTGCAGAATGAATCCCATCCAGTACTCCCCTGCCCTCCTGAGGTTCTACCACCTTGGACCCCTGCAGCTAGGATCATGGGGCACCTTGAACCCCTGGTGAACCAATTTTATGCAGGGCCAGCATGATCCCCAAGTCCAGTATGAAATAGTTATGGAAGAAAAGACTTTTACCTGAATGCCAAAAATTTGTAATTATTAATCAATTAGGAGACAGAATGTGGAGAGTTGTCTCAGGGCACTTAGCTTATCCTCCAAGCTAAGGATGCTGCAGGCTTTCCAGCCCTGCCTATAAATGCAGATTACTGGGTTGCAAAAATCCATTGGACCATGGAAAATTCATCCTAACTAAGAAGATACAGTAGTTATAAGTAAGGTTCTCCAGTTGTAGTCTATGTGGAAGTAACAGTCAGGTTCTGGCTGTCCTGGTTCCCCACTGCTCCCTTAAAGCTTGTTCAATAAATGTAACTCTGTTCACTCTAAGAAAGAAAGAAAAAATTCTTGTAATCCATTTGCAACAAATCAAGCCAGGTATAATTGTGATGTTTTCAGAGACACTTGAACTTGCTAGTTACCACTAGGTCCATCAGCATACATGCAAGGCCTGGCAAAATCTATTCACAGCATCCTCCTTTCTCAATTTCTGTTTCCTATCTTTCTCCTCCTACCCCTACCTGGACCTCTCATTTCATCCTCACTGTAGGTTTGTATTAGGCAATAATATACCTGCAGGTATCCTATGTAATAACATTGCCTCCCAAGTAGGAAAGTAATTCTGTAATGGCATCTATGCCATCTTTAATAACCTGTAACCACATTAAAAGGAAGAATCTGTTTTTTTCTGTGAGTGGAAGAACATATATCTTTAAGGAAGATAAAAAGGCAATATGTAAGACAAGTACTCAACAATTTCTCTCTATTTTCATTTCCCTCTCTTCTCTACATTGATTTAAAAAATAGATGATGTTAACAATGGGTTAAATAATCATTACTAGTTACCTTTTTACAAAAGAGGAGGTTGAAAAGTTAAGAAGCTGAAACAATTATTAGAATTTGTTTGGTTAGTAAGTGGTGGGGTTGACACATGTGCCACACAAGTTTCATGTGCTGAGACTCTGATGGGCTGTAAGGCATTTAGAAAAGACCATTTTAAACAAATCATATGGAGGAGATATGAGAGATTGCAATCTGCAGTTCAGAGTAAGCTAAGGTTTAACCAATTGGTCCTAATGTTTTCCTTTGCCATTGGACTGTCTGAGCTCAGTAGTTTATTAGACAGAATTTGGGATTGGGTTGCAGTTATTGTTTCCTTGGAGCTTCTGAGGCTGAAAGTCTGTTTCTGCAAACTTTAGTGAGAATCACTATAAATATCCAATGCAATAAAAGGAAAACACTAAACTCATGTCTTTCCAAAAGAGGAGCTGTGTGAAGAAAGTTGGCTTCTGAAACCTTTTTCTCTTGGTCAAAGGAATAATGTCTTCTATAATATTTATGGGCAAATAGGTTCTGGCTTTACTGACTCTGTATGATATATATATTTTCTAGTTGAACAGTCAATAATCTCAAAACATTCTTGAAATTTATGCTCCCAGAAAAGCATGCATATCACCTTGTGAAGCCCTAATTGATAAGTGGTTTTCTTTCCCAATAAAGTTACAAAATGGCTCTTTGTTTCTGTCTTCAATGTGTATAATGAGTTAATTTGTTCTCCTCCAATAAAGAGAATTCTGGTTATAATGTACATTTTCAGAGTTTAGGGGCATAGTTTCTTTCATGCACTTTATAATATATTTAATTTATCATATCAACTATCGTACAATGAGCTATCATTACGTTCTATTAAACATATACACACAGTAATTTAAGCCAAATATTTTAGTTGAATCTTTCAGTTGGTGAATTAGCAAATATTTTATAAAGTGTTGATACTTACAAAAATCAACACTTCATAGTGGATATAATTATGAAAACTACATCTACTAACATAAAATAAAACTGATTTAGGGTCATAATAATCAACCCAGAGATTGAAGATATCCATCGATGTGAGTCCAAGATTACCAGCACATTGAGTAATGAAATTTGATTGCATAGCAGTTACAGTCTTTAGAACAAGGAAAAGGTTTTATTGTTTAGTAGACTAAGCTCTGGCCAATATGCCTAGCTGGCATGCTTCTGTGTTAGAAGACTGTTTCATAGTAGGACTACTTGAGCCTAGAGCCAAGAATGAGCATTAGTCGAATTCTATTTGTGTGAAGCACATTTTCTGTGGTAACTGAAATTACATTAAAGAGATTCATCCATGTAATGAAGGTATTTATCAATGACCAGGACAAGCATTTTGGGGTTCTGGATTTATATATTTCATAGCAGCTCATGAAATATGCATTGTTTTAGGCACTGTTACCAATAAATTTAGACAAAAACAGTCCATGAAGGGGGTTGGACAGTA